CGGGCCAGCAACCACTTCAGCCACAAAGAAAAATACCGCACAGGGCTTTAGTGCTAGTCTTTCCACTCTTCCTTGCTACAGCGCCCTGCACAGTCAGAGGGGTCTTGCGCATCTCCAGGACAGAAACATCACTGTGGGTTTGATTAATTTGTCTGAGGCGAAGGGAGAGGAGGAAAAGCAGCGGGTATCGTCACGCTTAGAAAACACGTTGCACAGAAAAACCCTGCCAGACAGAAGACCCTGACAAGCCCTTGCTGTGTCCAACAGTGAAACCTCCAGAAGCTCTGAACTGTCCCCCCTCCCTCCCGTGCAGCGTGCAGGACATCTGCCCAGAAAACCCTTCTGAGCAGCCAGCTGCCTCACAGCGCAGCTCACCGCCGGCCCCAGAGCTCGGCCAGCAACTGCAAGAATATACTTCCCCACCAAGACAGTGCAGGGCTGCACACGTAGCCTCCCAGCGCCCTCCGTGTACAAACGGCATCCATCATACTTTTACGTGTGACAAACAGCTGCATTTTCTAAGGTAGGCTGCTGGTTAGTTGCATTTACCAAAAACAGCAAGAGACTAGGAAGAATAAGTTTCTACTGAAGGCTTGAGGCCCTTTTTTCAAGACAGTCTCACAATAATTTCCTCAAGCAATTTAACAGCTGTCATGGAAGACAATACTCTTTGCCTTGAAAGGGAAAAGTAGACTTCGATGGAATTAGGATAAAACTCCAAATTAGGGCAGATTTACAAGAGCTCAAACTATGCAGTTACAAGATTTTCTTCAAGGCAGCTTGTGTATTCCCGATACGTGCATCTGTTACCTCATATTCTGTATTATTAATGCATGTTTGCTTTTCATTATAGTTACAACCCAATATTGATACTGGCACATAATGTAAGTTTGATGACAGCAATTATTTATCAGTTGTATAAATACTCTGAAAAAAGTAAACAGAGTGTGAGAGAAAGCAAATGTATCATAGTCCTCAGAAGAGCAACTCGAATTCCATGTAAAATATAAACACAACTTAAATAACTCCACATTTACTAAATTAGCAATACAGGAATGGAATTCTCAAGTACAAACTGAAGAAAAATTTTAGTTTAAGTTTGTTTATTGTGGTAACATTGTTCTGAACATCAATAAACATTGCACTGAAGTGTGGGTTACTGTACCCAAGATAGTCCAGTCTTAACAAAAGCCACTGTATTGGTATGATCACAAATTTGACAATTTTAAACACACTACCTTATTAGTGATTGGGTTGTTTAACAATCAAGTATTCCACATCTTCAGCATAGAAATGAAACAAATGATTGAAGAGAGTTTTCCCACCCTTAAAATAAACCGACGTTTTGACTTTCATCTGGAAGTAATTAACAGTAAAAAAATCCAAAACAATTCCATTCTATTCAGCAGAATTTAACTTTGGAAACTAAAACTTCTTCAGGCAAAAGTGACACTTTAAAGGCATCTCAAATTCACTATGAATTTTTGATGTTTCATTATGAATTTGCATTACAGTCATTCAAACAACTCTCATTCATATGACAGCATTTTCTAGAAGACTTGTATGAAATATTAACATGAAATCTCATCTCTTCTGTCTTTACCATAAGCGGATTCAGTTTGCTTCAGAAGTTCCGTAACAGAGTCGACACAAGTGTTAGAACTTTTCCAGTTAAAAAAAAAGTTTTAGAAGGAGTATACTGATGGCAGGAAGCTACAGATACATGAGCCAAGATTGCACATGCAATTGTGTACTGTTAGGGATGAGCCCAACCTTTTGAAGTACGAACATGCTTGGTACAGTTAAAAAAACAAATTAAAAAAATCCAGAAATGTACACCACTTAAATCACTGATCTTTAAATCATTATAGAAATGGGTAATGTCCAACCCACTAACAAGTTTTGAATGGCAATGTTCCTTATTTATTCCCAGATAGGTATCATTGACTCAGCCTTTGACATGGTTCCAATGCTAAGAGGATCTGCATCTTCAACAACACAGTCTTAACAGGGGTGTGCATGCGCCTACAGACATACACGCTTAGAAGTTCCTCTTTCATAGAAAGAATGAGTTAGCTTGCGCTAATTTTAAGTCAGTATAGCACAACTTGTTCTCAAACATGAGTTTCAGGCCACTTCTCTCGACTAAGGTAACAAAGGGCAGGCTAGTGCATAATTCTTACTTACCCCACTTCATATTAATATTGCAGGACAAGCCCAGTCTGATAGTAATGAGATGTCTTTTCTAGAGTCAGTAAAGTGCCCAGCAGTCCGAATTGCATAGGAATGCAATGACCGGTACAGCACCCCCATATTCTGTCCCTAAACAGGGTTAACAATCAATCTGAAAAGCTTCAAATACAAGCCAGACTTAGAAAAACAAAACAAAATAAAACCCCTGCCCTACTCCTATCAGAAATACTCAAGAACACTTTTACATTTTATCAAAAACCAAATATCAAAAGTAGCTGTTACAGAGCAAAAAAGCAAAATTTTTAACTAAGCAACTTTTTGGACATCCCTATAATGCAAAATAACAGGTTAGCAGAATGAGGAGCTCTCTACAACCACACAGCCCCCATATTCATAAAAGCTTAAGTTACATGCATTTGGAGATATACTTGATACTGTTTTTCCACACTGCTCATTTACTCAAGTCCCCACCTTAAAATCCACAGCTTCTCTTTATGACAATCTGAAAAGATGAATGGAACTGAAATGAGAAAAAGTTAACCAAGTAAAAAAAATCAACCCAGAAAGATATAGCCAAACCTTGGTAACTACCTGTCCCATTTGGAAACCCATCCCAGTTTCATGAAGTGCTTTTATTTTTAGAAAACCTGTGTAATACCAGGGCCACCAAGAATAAGTTGAGCATGGTAAAGAAAATTTTGACATCCACAAAGGACCATTTTAAGAGAGGCAGCTTCACTCCCTTTATGTAAAATAGAATCTTTAGATAGAATATTTTATCTTGTAATTAAAATACTTTATTATGTTGGATTCTTACTTATTTATTTTAAAGTATTTAAGTGACTTAAAAGCTCAAATCCCATTGATATCCAAAGCACTTGGTGATCATGAAAATTTCAAGTTTCTAATGAAATCTATGGAATAAAAGGTAAGAAAAGGGGAAAAAAAATACATGGAATTATGTTTGTAAGCTTCTGACAGTAAAAAAACAACAAAAAAAAAAACACTAAGAGCAAAACATCCTTCGAGTTGAATCCTGTGAAATCCACTTAAACACTGAGTAGATTGATGACAGGACCAAGAATTTGCTGAAACAGTCACAGAAAGTATTGTTCTCACTGTACAAGAACAAGGATGCCTTTCAATTCACTGACATGCATGGCACACCGTGACAGACAGATATGTTTTCTCTCATACTCCTGCTTTGAAAGAGGTTTCATGTTGATTTTGCTTGCCCCCACTCTTCTTTTAATGTTTTGTAGACACAGGAATACACTAGAGTTTTATAAAGAAAAAAAAAAGGTTGTTTCATTTATATAGTGATGTAAAATTATCCCCCCAAGCAGTTCACCAATTGTCTAGCATTAGCTCGTGCCACATCAGAACTGTGGGTTAAAGACCACTCAGCCTGATAAAGAAAAATATTCCCTCGGGGGGAGGGGAGTGTAAAATCCTCTAAACGTACTCTTTTGCAGGTAGTGAAACAAAGAGAGCTCCTTTCCTACACTCAGCCCAAGTAAGCTGAAGCAGAAGGGCCTGCCCAAGCTGTTCCTGAAACGAGCAGCCCTGGTGCAGGCACCGCAGCAGGTAGCCATACACACG